CCTCTGGTTTCCATACCAGAGGTTCAAGCACAAGTGAAAATGACGTAGTTGCACTCAGAGACAACACAGCTTAAGTCAGTGAGATAGCAGAGGGATGAAGAGAAGAGCTCTGTGGCCTTTTTCAGGTGATTGACGTGTTGTAAACAAAGATGATTGAAATCCTAGGTCTGAGTAGACACACGGATGTTAACAGCAGGCAAACAGGGAAATAAATATCTTTGATTCATTTTGCATCTGTATTACTGGCAAAGCTCTATTGTGTTTTCAAAGATACAAAGTATCTTTACAGATCTAAGGGGAAAATCCATAGGTAAAAGATTATTTGTTTTTAAAGTCTTAAAAATATCAGAATGCCAAGATTTATCTTCTTTGTTATACTAGGAAATCTAGTGAGAAGGCAAGGAACTGGGACAGGGACCATGTACTACTTAGATGGGGAAAGTAGTAAAAAAGAAATATATATATATAATTTTGTTAATGTTTCCTCCTTCTTACCCCAGTACAAGACTCACACAGATAATACTGGAAATATTCCCATCCCTGGAAGTCCTCAAGGCCAGGCTGAGTGGGGCTTTGAGCAACCTGGTCTAGTGGAAATTGTCCCTGCCTGTGGCAGCGAGTGGTTGGAACTAAATGATCTTTAAGGTCCCTTCCAAACAGGGACCTTCCAAACCAGTCCTCAAGTGGTCAGTCCTGAGGCCACAACAGCACAAACAAGCAGTGGGTAACTGGAATGACTTCTACCAAAGTATAAATACAGAGTACAGCAACACCTTTGCTGGCTGACACCCAGAAGTTCTGATCATTATTTCCCTCACTGAAGCCTAAGTTTCATCTGGAGGTAACAACCTGGTTCAGTTTTCTATTCTGCTGCAAAGATAGGGCAGATGATAGTGCTGGAAAACAAGATTGATATGCAGAAGGTCAAATAGCAGAGTAAACAACAGTATCCTACACCCTGCAAACTAAACACCAGCACAAGAATACTAAAGCAGAATTCTGTGTTTATTATCATAGCATCTGCAAACAACAAATCCCTACATCAGGGTGGCAGAGAAGTTTAACATGAGGATCTAGCAAAACCAAAATACAAATGATTCAGCTGATGGTTTGGGTAAGGCAAAGAACAAATATCAATCTTTATTCAGAATTTCTCTATTTACAGCTCACATGGTTCCTGATATATTGAGAACATAACAGAGCAAAACGACCCAGGGTTTAGCTTGTCTAGCAGTAATTTTTTTCTCACATGGACCTCCAGTCCCCAGAGCATAATAGCATCTTTTTCTCCATAAGTTTAGAATTTTCTTTGTGACTGCAGTGATGAGGAGGATAAATATTTCACACCTTTTTCACAAGAGAGAACAATTCACTTTGCATCTTTCAAAAAAAGACAAGTATCCCCCTACACATTGTCAATTTCATGTGTACTATATAAAGAAACTGTTCAAGTGGTTCTTGTTAGGAAAAGCCAAATATAACAATTCCTTTATGAATTTAAAATGCTGAAAGCCTCTGTAGCTAAAGGAGCTAAAATTAATTGTAAACTATTGAGACAACAAGAGAGTCGCAATATTTGTATGAAATGCCACTTAGAAACAGCTCTCTCCCCTGTCTTCTATTAGTAAAGCACCAGAAGATAAAAAATACAAGAAAATATGAATTCAATAAAGGAAAAAAAAAATAGAAGTTCAGATAAAAAAGCCTGCTATCAGGATGAGTGGATGGATTAGCAGGCAGAAATCCAATGATTGCAAAATTAAATATGTTTTTTTTCCTTGGAAATACCTCCTTACAAGACATTTTCCTTGTCCATCTGATAAACTGATTTGCAGCAGTCCTTTATTCCTCTGGAGTCTGCTGAAGTTCACTTATGGCCTGTATACAGGGTAATATTTGCTGATTTGAAGTCTGTTTCACAAAAAGCAGACACTGAAGGAATGGTGCTGAGTAATTTCCCAGGTAAATGGCTTTGCATGACTTACATGTAACAGATATCTGTCACCACTCAGGCACCTTTGCATAATATGAAGTAGCTGCAGCAGGGCAGGAATATAGAGTATTATTCTAATTCTACTTAACCCTAAAACTAGCACTACACAATTTACCTGGCTTCTGACCCACTATCTCCTCACTCCCATCAATGGCTTCAAACCTGCAGATATTTGTCCTCCAAGGGGCTCCTTGGGTGTGTGTCTAATCATGGGCCGAAGTCTTTACCTCTGTTTAACAAATACAAAATTATCCATGAATTTTCATGGGAAAAATTGGAGGCTGCTTGAAGAGACTGTGGAGTAGTACTTGGAGCAAAGAGAGACTATTTCATAACTAAGACTTTTTTTGGGCTCAGACTTGTAAGTGAAACACAGAAGGGACGGTTACTTGTGCTAGCTAAGTGAAAAAGGCTAAGTTTAAGCAACAGATTTAGTCAAGAACAGAAGCAAGATATTTGTAGTAATTTCTATTGAACAAGCCATGTGATTGGGAAAATTACACCAGTTTTCAGGTATGCAAGCCTGAAATAGAAACAGCAGCTTTCAAAGCTCCATGCAAGCTGAGAAATGCATCGCTCAGAGTTTAGCTAGAAGAGTAAGTGTAAGATCATTTTTTGAGAGCAAAGGTAGTTAGCATCCCTGTGGAATAAAGTAATGAAATGAGTGTGAGGAAGAAAGAAAACGGGTGAGATAATTTCACCCTTGGGAGAACAAAGGCTGGTCACAAAGACAAGTAATGTAATCTCCTATGGACCACACAGATTTTAATGAACCATAAACCACTCAGTAGGATCCACATTTCTGGAAGCTAGTAGTGTCCTGAATTTTAGTTTTTAGGCTCATCTTTGGGTATTTTTCTAGTAAGGGGCCTACAGGTCTAAGGATGAGGACCACGGAGAGTGCTTTCTACAAAATATTTACTCCTTGTCAGTATGGGTTTTGTTGCCTTTTATCGATTGCCAATGAGAGCTTACTCTGTTACAGTACGGTTGCTTAGCTTCCTCCCTACTGCAAAAGCACTTTGGGTACATTCCTGGAAAGGTAAATGCAAAATTTGGAGATGGCAACAGCATTTCTGTAGGGAGCGTTTGCTGTTGTACAATAGCAGAGATGAACCTGCAAGTTCTATATGTTTTTCTCTCAGCTATGTTTTAGGTGTATTATGAAGGGTAAAGAGCTTTGTCTGTGCTCAGGATAATACAAATGTGGATAGGTATGAGGTCCAACACAGATGGTTCTGGGAAGGTTTATTTCAATACATAGGCTTCTTTAGTACAATCTTGAGTTCTTCATGAATTTCATGCAATACCAAAGAAGGATGTTGTATGACAACCAAAGTTATAAGACTAGAAGAGCTTCCTTTGTACTGAAGTAGCTCTTTGTAAACTTCAAGCAGTTCTTTCAGAAGCATGCATCTTTCCCTAGGAAAGCATCCCTCACATGTAAAAATCCCCTTATTGAAGGCTCTCTTTAGAGAAGAGACAAGGGTATCTGATCTTAAACTATGATATCTATCTTATACATATTGTATATATAGATAGATATATATATTTAGATATCTATATATATTATATATATCTTGATACTATCATTAAGTTTGTTGAATTTAACAGCTGTGTTAGCTGTCAATCTTCTTTATAGGTAGTTAACCTGTACCCTTATGTGGTTGGCTGTATTAAGAAAAGGGATGTCATAGAATCAAATTTATAATGGAGATTCAGAAGCAAGGAAGCTCCAGTGTCTGTTACTTGCAATAGCACTATATTCGTCTGATGTTAGATACATCACAGGCATAGTCATACAATTTTTAAGAAGTGTTCTTCTGAGCTAGCCCATGACAAAATTGATAGTGTGGTGCCAGTGGAGATGCAACTAGTTACTATAATGCGGGAAGGAAGTTTTTATTTATTTATTTTTATATATTTAAAGCTGCTGCAAGTGAAGACGAAGTGCAGAAGATCAATGGTAGCTTTCAACACAGTAATCTGAATGCTGTCTCTCTTGTAAGCATGCAGACAATTTGCATCAGCATGGTCCAAATTGCTAGTGTAAGGGATAGTGGAACTAGATATTTCAATATGTAAACTGTCAAGGTAAGAGTACAAAACTGTCAAAACAAGCATACATAAAGCCAACCTAATCACAGTGACTTTTCTTACTCTTGACAAAATGCACACTCCTGCACAGATATAAGATTGGCAAGATGTTCCTGTCTTCTTTGGGCTGAGGAAGAGATTTGAGGGCATTGCAGTTAGTTAGTCCTGCAGTTGTCCCTCCAGTTTTAGAAGGGATCTAAAATTAAGGTGCCACTGAAAGGCACATCCAAGTGAAGGCAAAGAGAGGGGATTTAATAGAACCTGCTAAATGTTAAAGCAGTGCTTAGTTCAGTACCATTCAAATCTACACCTTGCATTCACTCCTGCAGAGTTCCACGGGAAAAGAGTCTACGTATTTTCAAGAAGCTATAGACTAAGGATGTTGGTTTCTCATCTCAAAGACTCATTGGCATAGGCATCATGCTGAGCTGCAAGCCTTGATGTCTAAATAGAAATAGTTACCAGAAACCAGATTTGAATCCTTTGTTTGAGTATAGGAACATTTTCAATAGCAGCATTCAACCGCAAAACATATTATTAACATCTGAGCTGGTAACTTTTGTTTCATGATTAAAGAGCATTAAGTGTTGTACCCAACTGGCTGTTATGGATGCCATGACAGAGCTAGACTTGACTGTGCAACTGCTCCAGCAATCTCTTCTATATATTTTAAATTCAAATTGCAAATCAAGAGGAACATTTGACTAATATTACTACTTATCTAATACGAGCCCCTTCAGGAGCTGTCTGTGACTGCAGCTTCATTTACAACAGCAATATCTCTCTAAGTATACTATTTGGCACTGGAACCAGTCTGAATTGGAGTTTAATAGTTATCCTGAGAGGACAAAGCAAGGCTTGAGCTTCATCTGCTAAGAACTAACTTCAGGCTTCTTTGCTGCTAGGAACTAACTTCAGGCTTCTTTTCCTTGCTTTGTGCAGCTGCATAATTTGCACACAGCTACCAGGAGAAATGTCAGTCTACAACTCAAGTTGCAAGCACTACACATTACATATGCCAATAGCCCAGAGTCTCCCCAGGACCTGATCATCTCCTCTTGACTTTGTGTTAAGATACTGTCAGAGAAGTCTGAAAAGTAATAGGCAATGGAGAAGCCAAGGAGATCTCCCCTATGCATTTCTAATCAAAAAGGGCTTGAATTCTGAATACTAGACCAAGGCACAACAAACAATTGAGGCAGCATCTGCTAAGAAATGGGAAGTCATTCTGCTTCTAACTCTGGGCAAGTTTATTTCAAAGTTGGCTTCCACAGCTGCATGCCATCTCTCAGTTAGCAGCAGCTACAAAGAAAGTGGATCCCAGCTGACAAGACCAAGATGACTCTTTAAGCAGAGGTTGAACAGGGCTTAATGAATATGTAGATCCTATTAGTAAAAGATCTGTGTTTGCAAATTTAAGAACTATGCTCCAGAGGAGAGAAAGTACTCTGATGTTGACTGAGAGTCCAAGCTAGAACTTGGAAACAGCAGAGCTTCACTGGCACTCGGTGAAATACAGAGCAGCAGCACCCACAATTATGCTGTTGATACTTGTCAGTTATTAGTTTCAATTCTTATAAAGCCCTTCCCACAACACTCTTAAGTGCTACAGAAACATCAAACTTTTATTGCTGCAAAGAGAGACCTATGTCCTTCTTGCCTTTTGGGAGATGCCTGCAATATTTCTGCCATCTTTGGCTCAACTTGTTTGTTTTTTTTTATTTCTGATTGTGTTCTTTGAGGCTGTGAAGCAAGGTGTCAACATGCAAGACCTAAATAAGTGTCTACCATTTTATTATATAAAGTTTCCTTCCACTTCTCCTTATATCTCTGGGCTCTCAAAATGATGCTCAGCATAGTAAGTTGATAGGCCATACTATTTTGATTAAGGTCCCATCACACTTCATGGAACAGTTGCAGTAACAATCTTTTTTTTCCCTGAAAAATAGGTTCTAGAAGAGAGGGAAGCATTGCCTCACTTATAGGTGCAAGCTCATGCTTTACTTTGACCACCAAACTCTACCATTATGGAAGAGACTAGGAATTCAGAACCAAGCTAAAAATACCATGAAAGAGAGGTTGATGCTCCAGGTGGCACATCTGATAGATAAGATACTCTTTTGAATGCATTGTTCAGCCTCTCTCACCTGGACTAGAAAATACTCATAAGCACACTTGAAAAGACAAATGAAAAGGAACCAAGACGCACAAACTAGCCCTTCTCCTTTTTTACTTGTGCATAAGACCATTCATCTCAGACTGCAGAAGCTTAGCTAAGTGAACAGAACAAAAAAGTTGTCATTCTTTAGTTCAGAGAGAGAGATCAAACACGAAGAAAAAAGTGATTTATACAACTTTATCTGTCTATCATTATAAAAATATTTTACTAAAGACAAATTTGAAACATATATCCAGGGTCACTTCTCTTTAATCTTATAATAGCAATTACTTTTCACAGCCAAGCTGGTTTCCCTCTCACAGACTCATTTCTACTGACATGACTACTTGAAATCACACACAGTCACCCCTCTTACTAGCCTTCTGCCTATCATTATGACAACGAATGAGATGAATACTACATTTCCCTCCACTAAGACATCCCTCTGTCAAACTGAAAACATTTCGGAACCAGCCCACTTTATGGATGCATATAGGTTGACAGATGCCAAAGGAACAGAGTTTGAACTTAAGGAGTATCAGCACTACCTATGAGGTAGACAAGTAAGCCAAAAGCTAGCGTATTATATACTTGCCTAAATCTTCACCTTTTTTATCTAGAAAAGAGTACTCTATCAGCTTTTCACATTTATCTAGCACTGCTTCCTTTCCACCCATTGCTACCTGTCTTATTCCTGGCTCTGTAATGACACTAACGCTGTCAGTGATCTGTTTGGTGATCTTCATACTAACATGTACAGCATTTTCTCTTCTAACCTTATCTTCTCCAGAATCTATCATTTTAGGACATGGAAAAAGCAGCCAACAGTGAAGTCCCAGCACAGTGACTAAGAGCACCAGTTACATTCCTCAAACAAGGAGCTTCATTGCACTTAGCCTATAGATTTTAAATAGCATCTCACCTTGGCAGACAGAGGGAATAGTTCCCTCTCCTCCCCCAGAGGGGTAGCAGCTCTGTCCTCAGATATTGGACTACAAACACTAAAAGCCAGGCTAGTCAATATACAAGCTAATATAGTATCATAGTCACTACCAGAAAACATAGTTTAAGAGAAAACTTTTCCATTTACAGTATTTGACTTGCATCATTGCTGTCAACATGAGATGGAAGAAATTACTTTATCAGGCCTTTGCTGAACAGCTGGCAGATTCTCCTGCTTGCTTAATGCAAGCTAAAGTGTAATTGATCTCCATAGAAACAGTAGGAAACAAATATACTCAGAAAAGGGTGGACAATCTACTAACATGGGAATTATGTTCAGCTTATATCTACACTGTAGACACATTTTAGTGCTAACCAGGTCACAGCTGGGCAATAGCAGCTATAAATCTACATGCTTGCATTGTACACTGACATTCTTTCGACTTTCCATCTTTCTTCTTGGAGTTTAACATCTCTTCAGGAGAGCGTCTACAAAACATTAGAACATATATCTGTATCTCAGCTGAATATCTTCACCTGGCTTCCAAATAGGCTACCTAACCTAAGCCATATCAGGCTTTAGCCATTCTCCTCCAATTACACTTCTTACCATGAAGTCTTAGTCATGTCTGCCACAAGAGTTTCCTTACCCAAGACAGACTGCTACCTCTCCTCCCCACCCCACTCTTGACACTCACAAATCTGAGAAGGGTCCCAGCAGACCTCCTCCTAAGTGGCACCTAGAGGTTGCACAAAAATCCTCTTAACATCTTATCTATCAAGATCAACGTGCTCTTAGCAGCAGGTGAGTGTCATGGTTTAAAACAAGCCAGTAAGTACCACACAGCAGCTCATTCACCCCCTACTTCCTTCCCAAGTCAGGATAGGGAGGAGAATCAAAGGAATGTAAAACCCTCAAGTTGAAATAAGAACAGTTTAAAAACGAAAATAAAGCACAATACTAATATTACTAACCATAATTCTAAAGGAAATAACAAGGGGAGACATTATAAAACTCAAAAGGGGAAAGAACACCAATAAACACATGTGATGCACCATGCAACTGCTCACCACCTGCTGATCAATACCCAGCCCAACCCAAGCAGTAGTCTGGGCCTTCTTGGTGACTCCCCCCAGTTTATATACTGGGCATGATGTGCTGTGGCATGAAATACCCCTTTGGCTAGTTTGGGTCAGGTGTCCTGTGTCTGCTCCCTCCCAGCTTCTTGTGTCCCTCCTCACTGACAAAGCATGAGACTGAAAAGCCCTTGATCAGGGTAAGTGCTACTTAGCAACAACTAAAACATCAGTGTGTTATTAGTATTGTTCTTGGGCTAAAACCACAACATAGCACTGCACCAGCTACTAGAAAGAAAATGAACTATCACAGCCAGAACCAGGACAGCATGTGTTCTGTCATCAGATAGCAAACAGAAAATATGTCTGAGTTTACAATCCTCACCAATAGATTCCTAATGCCGTTCTAAAATGTTTCTAGGGATATCATCTTTCAAGTAATTTTCCTCTTTATCTGAAAGGAGTAGCATCCTAAACCCTACCAGATGGCTGGGGCAAGTCAGACAGCATGCAGTAGCCAGTAAGGTATGGAGATCCTTCAATAGTTCTCTCAAAGTCATTGACAACAGGCCATGAAACCATTAGACAAGGCAATGCTACTTGCAGCAGTTATTTCTGTGGCTATTTCCTCATTCTAAAGAGCAATAAAGTACCAGATTAAACACTGAAGCTGGCAAATTGAATTGCACTCACCTTTAGAAATGTCTTTTCGCGGTATGCTCACCCTGCAAATCCAGCCTATTTGGAACTACTGGTGAAGAGACTTTCTCTACTGCACCGGAAGGGGACTTTACAAACAGACTCTCCAAAAATGTGTAGGTAGTAGCATCCATTCTATAAACTTTGGTTACTAAAGATAAAATGTTCTATACTGTAGCCAGTCTTAACAAAGAAAAGGACAGCCAACAACTCAAAATAGCGGCACAGATTGGGTGTAAAGCACTGACTTTATGAACTGTTAGTTCTTAGAATATTTTATATATTCCATGGCCTGTAAAAGACTGGTGAGACTAGAAACGCAACAGCTTCTTGAAGAGTTATTAAATTAACTACTTATAAAAAGTAAAATGTATCAGTGTTTTCCTGTATACAGCAGGACATATCATCAAGATGTACACAGAGTAACAGGTATGCAAGCAACAAAAACTTACCTTGTGCATATGTTCCCCATCCTGAGATGTAGTCCTATGCATTTCTTTTCCAGTAGAGTTCCTCTGAAAAAGAAGTGAAGTTACACATTGCAGCCTTGTGCCACTGCAGGGGCCCAGGGCCAGCCAGTCAGTGCAGAAGCCCTGCAACATCTTTTCATCATATGTACATTTAGAGAAGTTATCTTTAAGGAGCAAAATCATCTTCATCATCTTTAGGCTACAGCGGTGTAGCACTTGGTGCTCCAAGTGGTGGGCTTTTACATTCCCTTTTTATTTCCACCACTACCATTAAAATATCTTTTCACAAGTTCAAAATAAATAAAGAAGCCAAGTCACATGCAGAAGGTAACGTATTCCAAAAAACACCCTTGCTCACCTACGTTCAGCTAAAAGCCAAGCTCTTTCCTCAACCAAAGGAAAACAAATTTAGAAAAGACTAACTTCCAGAGCCTACCAAGCGTTGTCCTGGCTGCAGCTTTTCAGCAGCACAACTATGTCAGATATTCACATACAGAAATACTATGTATTAATTATGTATTTTGTATATAAACAAAAACTTTATGAAACCCTACTGAAATATACAAACTACTTCAACACCTTAAATAAAACTAACTCCAAACTCTTCATGCATAAGTCTGATGTCTTAAAGTAGTCCCTCTAATTACTAGCTCAGAGTTTATATAGCCTTGCTGATGACTGACGTTAGGTTGAGAGCTCAGCAAGGCAATAAAAATAAAGCATTGCCTGTCCTTAGCAATAAGAGAAAGTAATTTAGATCTCTTTATAGACTTCATGGCTCAGCAATAAGCACTTCACCATGTCTGATTGTAATTAATACCTCTGATTCTCTGATTAGCAGCAGCATGTCATTCAGGTGACTTCACTTGAAAAAAAATCGGTATTTTGTTAGTAAACACCTGTGTAAGAAGGGCTTCTAAGTGCAAGTGGTTATCCTTGATCCTTCATTAAGGAAAAGGTGGTAGAGTTAAAAGAGGGGAAGGCATGGGAGGGAAAGAAAGAAAACAAACACTCCAAACCTGAAAAAAAATCAAAACCAAAACCATCAAACAAAGATAAAGAACAAAAACACAACTCAAAAAATCTGGAAAAAGTTTTAGGTCTAACATGAGTATTTTTCCAGGAAAAAAAAAAAGGCAATCAGTGATAAGTCTGTCATGTTTACTTGCAAATGGGCCGCATCACAATTTTATACACCCTGGGGAAATCCTGCTACCTTATTATTCTGTGCTTCACTAACAAAATGGGTATAATAGTACTGCCTTGTTTCATGAGCTTAGAATAAAGATAAATCTGCTTTTAAATGTAGACAGGCACAGGGAAAAAAAAAGCACAGAGTGACATTATCCCAGGCCATTAGAAGATAATGTGGCATTTCCAGTGCAATTGCCAAACACAAATATCCACATGCCCATTGTGTGCTTGACAAGAGTCATGAAAAGACCAGCACAGAAAGATACTTCTGACACTACAGACATGGCATGAGGCTGGTCAGATTGTCTGCTGCTGCAAATTGTGAGACCCTCACAGATAAATGAGCTACTTTTTATTACCTGATGCCTACTTCCTACTAGGTGGTAAGTAAAATTAAGTACTCATCTTTCTTTCATTTGGGACCGATATCAGAAGCAGCATCTCAAATCTTCTTCTAATTTGAATGCTAATTATGACATGCCAGTGCAAACCAGAGGCTAGTGTTGAGTCTCATCTCCTCCTAGATGGGCCCATTTGTTTCTCCTCTCCCTTACAAGTCTGTGGAAGCCACATTTGGATCTGCCTTCTCAGAAGATGGGGAGCCAACATTCATAATTAAAAGTACAAGGGAAATATAGGGCAAAGTTAGATTAGCCTTTTAATGATCTTAGATAAAAGAAAGAATACACATTTCACAGTGAATTACAGCACAAAGTGACTTATATGGAACCAGATCCTCATCTTACTTTCAACAGCAAAAGAAAGTTACTTTAGAGATCTGACAATCTTCTTCTCCCCTTCTGAAAGTGAGGGGACTTTTTTTATTAGTATTATTTTTATTAGTATTATTTTTATTTAGAAATGAATCAGCAAAGATGCGGAGGAAATGAGCAGTCAGGAGAAAGGTCTCACCTCCGACACTGAGAGCATTCTTAAGAGTCTTTGTAAGTTATATCCTCCTATTATCACTATCAATTTAAATGATTATGCATGATGAAATGGCATGATGAAAGCAGGGCTTGAGAAGGGACTGCACACCAGCAGGTGGGGTTTTTTTTCCAATTCAACTATCCAGGTAACTGGAGAGCAACTACAACCAATTAATCAGACCAGTTAAGTCTCCTTAAAAGCATTATGGCCCCCCACCCATTGTGTACAGACCCTTCCACATGCAGCTGGTTGCCTAGGATTAAAGTACAAATCTGAATAATCACAAAAGTATCTCTGCTGTTTCATAATCCAGAGCCTGCCATCCTACAAGGGCACACTAGGAGCTGGATACAGTCCAGCACAGCAAGTGCTGTGCATGCAAACCCAAGCACTAAGGAGCTTGCATACAGAGGGAATACCAGGGAAGCTGGTCGGCTGTAATTTCACTGTTGCATGCCTAGAAATCCACTCCCACCAAAATGGAGGTGAAATGACAGACAGGAATATTTAAGTAAGTACCTAATTTGCATGCTGAATCTTACACAAGTTCCTAACCTCTGGGACATCGTTATTTTCCATGTTTTTCCCACATCTCTCTAATGTAAAAGCCCCATGAAGATTTTAAAATGTACCTGTACCTCTCTCCACTCTAGTACTATTCGAGCCACGGCACGGAAACCTGTCTGTCAGAGGCCAAACCCAATGCTCAGTCACACGCCAGCCCACATGCACCCCTATTTAAGAAAAAGACTGCAATTTGTGGCTGCCTGCCCTCCTGGGTTGCGTCAGTGCCTGACTCACCCTGAATACACAAATCTTCCCCCCTCCGCTGATCCCCCAGCCAGTGCTTTTAGTCAGCAGACGTTAATTCAGCAAGACATTCACACAAAAGATGTTGCCTGTATCCCCACAGCCAACCGCCCACCCCCCGGGGCCAGGTTTCAGTGGCATTCCCTGCCTCCAGGCTCTTTGTGCACTGTGAAGCTCCGCTTCCACTCCTGCAGTGGTTCCTGCCCTCCCTGCTCCCATCTTTGATAGCTGCCAGTGTGCATGGAAATGGGTAGGGGTCCTATCAAGTGAGATCAGAACAGGGGATACACTTGATAGGGCCACCCAGACCCTGACACAGGCAGCAGAAATGCTGCAGCAGGAGCAAGGGCACCATGCAAGAAGCAGGGCATAGGGAGGGAGTGTGTGTCAGAGATTCAGGAAGAAGCCTGGGAAATGAAATGTAAAGAGATTAACTAACTTAACAAAAAACACACAGGACATCTGCAACAGAAATGGAGGCAACACCTGAATCCCAGAGCCTGGCTGTAACATCCTGCATCCTTTGGAGGAAGCAAGCAGTGCCCACAGTGGCAGGTTTGGGATCATCACCAAAAAGAGAGCAATGTCAGCCTTTCTCATCTGCAGATCAGCAACTTACTCTGCTGGTAATCATCTTGACCTGCAGAGCCATTCTGTGTTAGTGATCAGCGTCCTGTACCCTCAGAGACATTTTGGCACAAAACAGCACCTTTTATGTGGGTCTTTCAAAACCTAGCATCAAACATAACAAAAAGTAATTGTCATGTCATTACATGGAACCTGGTGTTTGTGTTCAAGAGGCATATGATGCTATCCCTGAGAGATTTTTTGAAGGTACTTTAATGCTTCTTAATTATTTTTTTACTATCTGTTTATAAGAGTTACCATTGATCTTCAAAACAATTAAATATATGCTTCTGGTCCTTATTTGAGTTGACAATATAGCTTGGAATTTCAGTGGTTTTGGGCAAATGAATCAGCACATCTATGAATAAACCAGCCTAAGTCTGAAGTCCTGTTTCCTATCTCATGTCTGATTCATTAGCAAATTACTTCAGAGGACAGGAGCTTAATTTCTGCTCACATGAAGTCATAAGTATTCTGAAGTCATAAGGAATGCCTTTATTCCTGTTGCCTGTTTAAGAAGTCAGAATGTATTGCACTGCATAAAAATGATCTATACTTGCAGCTTAAGAAAACAGTTCTTGAAATAGAGCTAAATTAGGTTTAACCATCCCTCACACATCCCAGCCTGAAGGAGCACCCTAGCAACAACCTTTCACATCTTGCAAACATTTGCTACTAATTATGGGTTCTTAGAGCAATAACACACTGCTCCATGCTTCAAGGAAAGAGGCCAAAAGCAGCCTCAAAAGTAAGCCTTAGCTTTTAATTTAAACCAGTGCCATACAAGTTCTCAAATATACATTGCAAAAGCTTCCCAAAACACTGCTCTGATTAATGGCTCTAAAAACTTGTAAAAGCTTAGCTGTCAAGCATTAAAATGTAGGCTGAGAAAAAGCTCGTGTAGAACAGCTAAATAAAAATCTTTTGAAATAGCTTTTCCCTATACCTTAACTAAGAGTAGCACAATACAGCAACACACAGTGAAACTCCAAAGAGTCACAGGACTCACTCTGTACCAGTTCAAGGGCTCACGTACCTGCTTCCAGCAAGTTATTCATGCCGCAGCAAGCCTTCCCTCATCACTTATACATCAGCCAGTCTTCCCTCATCTCCTTTCATTCCTAAACACACAGTCTTCTCTAGTCTAAAAGCTCCCCTCTTACTGCTTGAGCTACCCTTCAAGTGCTCTTGAATTTCCCTTGACCCGAAGCAGGAGCCAGAAAGAGGCAGGCACAGAAGAAATGCTATCCTTTCCAGATTCCTCTTGTTTTTATTCTCAGATCTCACCTTAACAAGCAGCCAAGCCATACTCCAGCTTATCTGCTCCAGGTGATGGTGTTTGAGCAGGGAGCATGGGACAAGATGACCTCCTGAGGTTGTCCATTCCAACCTCGACCCTTTTGTGATTGACATTCATTGTGCTTACAAAAGAAATTTAGCATGGATAACCCTTTCCTGGGAAATGGTGCTGGGTACCCTCAGACATAGCTGACATGGAGGATGTCAGCTGGAACCCTGAAGGCTGGAACCCTTCTAGTGAGACTCTGGAAGATACAACATCTGTCCAAGATGAACTTGGGTCTTAAGGCAGAATATCAGCTGGTAGGGATGTCTGTAGCTAAGAAAATGAGAGGCTGGGATTTGGTTTTGTTTTTTAATTTCCTGCTTTTCTCACTTCATACTATTTACCATTTCTTAGATAATTTTTAGTGATTCAAACCTGTGTCTACAACCTCCATGATACGTTTTCAATTTTCTTCATGAAAGGGTAAGGAAGTTGTTACAAAACATTTTTATTTGCTATTCATGCAAGGATTGCATTGGCTTAGAAATTTTAGAACTAATACAACACCAGAATGATAGAAATGACTAAAGACACTAGGCTACTGGCATTGACTCTAAAATACTCAATTGTTTAAGTTATAGCAGCATTTCTTCTACTCCCAGGAAGTGAGAATATGAGAAACATCAAGGAAGTAAAAAAGTTCTGTTGTTTGCTGAGACTAGAGTCTCCTTCCAAGGGCTTAACAATGGATTTCAGCATCACAGGCTTTCCAGCTCTCTATGTGCTTAAAACCAAGAATGAAAAAGAAAATGGTGGGATTTTTCAGCATATAATGCATTGGGAAAGGAATGTTCTCTTTCAGGGACCAGTTACTATGTCCCCTGCCAGGAAATTGAAGCCTGTTCATACTACTGCAAAACTA